TGTTGTACACGGGACTACGCATGTTTTTGCTTGTTGTCCTTCGGGGATTAAGCGTCAGGTTGGAGTAATTGCAGAGTGTGGAGTTGCTCATCTTTAGTCAGCTACCTTTGTGGTCGTTTTTTGCCTTGCATTTAATTTATTTTTGGATATTCTTAAAGTATAAAGAATGAAGCCACACGGACACATGCACCCAGCCCAGTCCAGCCCTGCCCTGCTTATCCCTGTCCAGTTGCCCGCTCAGCAGCAATGGAATCGGAGCAGCCGCTCCTAACTTGTCGTCGCTGGGGATTGGATCTCGCCGCCCAGGGCGGATAGCTCCTTGAGGAACTGCCTCGCGTTGGTCAGCGTGGAGGCGCCGTAGATTATGCGCCTCTGCACGTTGGACGTCTGCTTCTGCTTAATAAAGTCCACCAGATTCTGGTACTCAATGTAGTTGCCGCCGCCTACCATGAAGACGACGGCATCCTGGAATGGGGCACGATTCTTGGGCAGGACATCGCCGCCCTTCAGCAGCTTGGGGTCCAGATACAGATAGTCATCTGTTTCGGCATTGCTGCGACACTCCATAACCTGCTCCGTGATCTTGGTGACAGGTAGGTTCTGCAGAAGCAAAGAGACAGCTGAACACTAACGCTTTAAATTGATTTGATTGCATTACTCACGTGGCGCTTTACAACCAGATTTTTCACGCCCTCCATGACGAAGGAGCTGCCCTGCGACACAAGTTTGGTGAACATGGAAACAGTTTTGGTGCCACCGCCCTCGTACTGGGTGGCTTGGCTAATGCCTGGCGAGCGATTCATAAGCGCCTTCCAGCGCTGCACGTAGGCCAGAGCGGTCAAGTCACAGCCGGCGGCCTGCAGGGCCTCCTTGAGACGCTCTACCTCAGACTCGGACAGCTGCTGGGCGCAAATGTAGTAAATGATGTACAGCCGCAACTTGTCCTCCGACTGGCCAAACTCCGGGTCTCGCAGCAGCTCCAGCAGCGGCTTGTCTAGAGTCTGCTTCGACATGACCTTCTCCTCTATCTCAAAGTACGAGTCCAGACGGCGCGCCTTGATGTAGTTGAGGATGGCTGTGGCAATCTTGGTGTGCATGTCGATCAGCCGCTTTTTCTCCATCAGCTGCGGAAGCGAGTTGACGGCGTTGGTGAGGCGCGTCGTAGTGTCGTTGACCATTGAGAAGGCAATGTCCGATTCTCCCTCCATGCCCATCGAGGTCTTAAGGCGCTTGATTTCGTCCTCCGAGTTTCGATAGGATTCCAGCTCCTCCTGGATGGCCTCGGCCACCGTGGGGAAGGGACTGCCCTTGTGGGTCATCCAGAAGCGATCGGTGCGGTCCAGATCACAAGCCTTCGGCTTCTTTCGGGCTCCTACAAATATTTCAAAGATGTAATCTAATTAAGGAAGCTGCAGAAACCTACCTCCTGCCGCCTCATCCTCGACGTAGACCAGGTTCAGGCCCAGGTCTAGAACATCGTGAACCAGCGCTTGGTACGACCATGTGTGGTGCAGCGGTGTGGCCAGATCTATATTCCGGTCCAGCAGCAGCAGAACAGGCCGCTGGAAGCTGAACACTCCGCCGCCGGCCTGGGTGGCATCCATGTGGAACAGATTAGCGCGCGCGTCCCAGAGGTTCTCGCGCAGTTTCTTCTCCAGCTTCCTGGCCACCATCTCGGCGGCACTGTTCCGCGGACAGCGGATGATGGGCACGTTGCCCAGAGTGACGAACAGGGCAAATAGAGAGTCCACGATGGAGTCCATCAGCGCCACCATCTCTTCGTCGCGCGTGTTGGCCCTGTTGATGGCGTAGTAAGACAGCTGGTCGCTCTGTTGGTGCTTTAGCACGAAAAAGTCGTCCTCCAGGCTGATGAAGTTCACGTACTGGTCGTACATCCTGTGGATGTTGGCGACGCAGCCGGCGTGCAGGGCGGCGGCAGCCAGGTTCTCGATCTTGCTGCGCGTGATGGGCGCCAAGAAGTTCAGGTGATAGATGTCGTACAGGCCGTTGGAGAAGTCCTGTTGGATGCGGTCGAGATTCTCGTCGGTTGGCAGGCAAAAGTAGATGGCCGGCACGTCTGGTATGGAGTCGCGATCCGAATGGAGTTGTCTATATCGGGGTAATCATACATATCAGAGCATACAGTCCCTAATGGTTTTATCACTGAACCACTCACACATGCAATGTCACGCCCAGTTCACGCAGCTCCTTGATGGAGATGACCGGCGATATGATGTCTTGTCCCACGCGGTCGTAAATGAGGATCTTCCAAACGGGCTCTGCGGCCAGAGCCTTGGGCTGCTGCGAGTTTAAATTAAGCATTTGCTTAATGGCATCTGTGGGAGAAAGCAAAATAGTCAATTGCCCCACCGCATATCTAGTTTATTTTACTTATTTGGCGCTCCCTTAGGGTCAACATGGTGTTTGGTGTGTGGGTTCCGGCAAAAATAAGCAATAGCAGCGATTGATTAATAAATAATTTATTTTTTAATGGATAAAAAACATATTCTACAAAAAACAACACGTCACAAGCGCCTAAGAGAAACGCGTTTGGGGAAATTTAGTGTAAAGAATGTGCAACAGCTGTGGAATTGGTGTGCACACTGGTGGAGGAAATACCAAAGAAGGTAATTTGAAATATTTTTAACTGTTGGTTTTCACCAGCATATCATTAAGAAAATTTATATATATTTGAGTAAGTTACGTTGGGTTTTGATATTACGATTTTTCTGAGACCAAGAACTCAATTTTCGTTCTTAGGCCTTCTGGAATCCGCAAAAATCGATTTATTTACTCCCTGTACTGTTAAGCGCAAAATTAACTGCTGCTATACCCACGCGCTAGTGCCAGCTGATACAAAAAGGTCTCTGTTATGTTTGTTGTTGCCTTGTCCAATTTTTCAGCTCCAGTTTGGAGTTTGGAGGTTGGGTTCAAAAAATTATTTTAAAAATATACACAAGCTAAATTCCACTGGTAATGGTGTCAAATTCATATCAATTCATGAATAAGTCATCTATTGTTTTTCTTTTGCAATTACGATTAGTTTTGTTGTATAAAATACGTTAACTTTTCTTTCAGCCTCTTGCAGTTTTAAAAACTGAAATATGTTGCCTATTGCGAATGCGAAAGTAAATCGGAAATTGGTTGCAAAAGTAAAAACCGGAGTCTGCCTGTTTGATAGTTTTCGGGGAGTTTGAAAAAACCCGCACATCCACTAAGATATGAGTGTTACTAATAAAAATATATGAGCATTAATTCTCTTTCGTTCATTTTCCTGTCGTCTTCCATAATTCTGATTGCTCTCCTCGTCATCAAGCACACAATCATCTATTCTCATCACGTAATAACTTGCTTCTGCCAGTGTGAGCGCGTTTTATGCTTCATTGCGTATATTCCGATATCGATAGGAAACTCGCCCAGTGAAAAAAGTCTAGAAACATTAACATTAAAGCCTTATACCACTAACCACTAATGCAGAAAAATAGAATCTAAATAATGCAGCATGATATGAATGAAGATTATATGGATATTATAATATATTATTTTTATTAATTTTCATAAATATAAAGCAATATTTTTTTCAAACATTTCTCTTCACGGTGGTCGGCACGACCTAGGGAGGCCCCTGCCGAAGAAGTGCATTTTATTAACTTTAAATAAAACCAAGCAGCTGTCTGAGCAGTGGAACCGTACGAAATGCTGTGAACAACTCTGGTCACACCACTTGCCGCTAGAAGAATATATGACATTTTTTTGGTAGCAAACAGATCTGAGTACTAGGCTTTCCGTACAGAGCCTAGAAAACAGTTTTTGACCGGAAAATTTTATAATTTCTTCGGTTTTATACGAATATCAACCCTGATTCTGTTCGCGAGGTGTTTTTTCGGATCTGAGTACTAGGCTTAACTAGAATACAATAACAGAACAAACCAAAACAAAATAACAGTTAGAAAAAAAAATCTATTTGCTTTCTTTTTCGAGGTGACATTCGCTCTCTTCGTGGTGATTTCCGTAATTTAAAAATTAACAATGGATATTTTTGTGGCCCTGTCGGCACTATTTTGTTGTTTCATGGTTCGCGGCGAAAATTTTGTGAGACTTCGACCAGAAACCACGTTTACCAATTGATTTAAGAACTATACTGTATGGTTAGTGCCAGCATCCAGGTGAAGGTGGTTATCCGACAGAATGCCTGGTTGTAATGCGTTTATCATCACAAATAATTGCCGTATATTGGCAGGGTTGCAAACCCGAGGTAGCGTTGCATGTCATGAGGACCGTGGGGTAATTTGCAACGATACGAAATTATCGTCAAAACTTAAAAATTATCATTCTTTAAAAAAAAAACGGGGCATTTAGCAGCACGTTCCCGTTAGATACATTTAATTTGTATGGAAAACAACTTAGGGAAATGAATGAGCAGCAGTTTATGTTTTAAAGATATTAACGAAATTTTGTAGCTTATGGGTAACAATAATAGGAATTGGGAGAGGGATACGCTATATACAGAAAAAAAATCAAATGCATGAAGAGATAATTAGCATGTCAGACTAAGAAAGATATTTATGTTAGATATTAAAGTTTCAAAACAGCTTGGAGCTACAAATTTAACATAAATGAAAGGAAATAGGGTATACAAATGTCCATACTCATAGTAGAAATCTCGATGAACAACAACAATGACGGTCACATTCCGGTAAACGCTTACGTTTTAAGCATTGGCCGTTTTTCTTTGAACCTCTTTATTTAAACAATCCCATAAAAAGAAGTTCCTAAAACTAGCCAATTGTTGATGAATTTGATCAAATTATTTGTTTAGCCCTTAGAGTGCAAACTAGCTAGCAATATTAAGCCGAATATTAAAATCGAGGAATATCAACGCATCTTGCGTCCGTCAGTATATTTCGGTATATTTCTGAGGGTCGATAAGTCCGCGACGAACTATCGATAACATATAAAAACAGCTGTTTAGCTGACTCATATCCGCGGTCAAAAACACGAACAATCACTGACGGTATATTTTGTTGATAAGTCCGCGGTCACACTGCACACTGCATGTCGGTCAAAACAAAATTTTATACGTCGGTGGTCGGTATGCGCAAGGATAATTCTCAATAATAAAAGCAGTGAAAAACATGTCGGCCTTGCAATAACAAAGCAGAAAATAGTTTCGAATTATTTTCTGAGTTCAGAAAACTCCGTTCAAATATCTGACAAGAAAAGTATCAAACGGCGGTTCTGTCAGCCGCATTTTGTTTTTCGCACGTAAAAATAAATTGTATTTACGTCGTCTGGCAAACAAAAGCAAGTCCGCCGATAACCAGTAGGTGAAAGTGCTACAATGATATTGGAAGGGGATCATCCGCAGGTGGCCATGGTCAACTTGTGCCAGACAATGCGCGTGGCTCAGGTCAGATGGCGATTGACCCACCAGCGGGCGCTGGCCGCCGTCCACGTTTTGGGCCAGGAGAAGCGCCGCTGCGGTGACCGCTTCGTCAGTCGCCATCACTTCTTCAAACACAGCCGCGGTTTCCTTTGGTTCATGATGTGCAACCTGCTAATCTCCGGCAGCACCGGCGGGGCGGAGGCGCAGCTGCTGATCAACGTCCAGAACCAGGTGCGTGCCGGGGAATCGTTGGAGAAAGAGGCTGCGAAGCAGCCGGAAGAAAAACGAAAAGAGAATGAGGAAGAGGGAGTTTTACCCATGGAATGGGTGCCAATCGACGTACAAAATCCAGGAGTAGATTACGAAGAACTTCTCATGCAGTCGGCAGCAAATGAACCTGAAGTAGTTGCGGCAGATCAGAATTAATGAAAATAAACTCCAACATTTTGAGGTGGATCCACAACATAAGCAAGAAGCAGAAGCAGTTCACTTCACTACACGTATACAAATGACACGGCGACTGGAGTAGAACGCGCCAAAAACAAATACGAGACAGAGAGAGAGAAAAAAGACCAAGCAGCACCTGATTGAACAAAAATAAACGACGACAAATACTAAAATTAGATTTCCTTGTTTAAAATATTTGCATAAAAAAGTTAATAATGGCTTGGTTCAAGTGGAGAGCAGCTATTTCCCTGGAAATTAGTTTGCCTTTGGGGTTTTCTATCAATTTTAGATTAGTTTGCCGAAAACGTGGCTCTTGGTCTTGCTCTTGCTTACAGTACACCCTGTATCCATCCGTGTGCTCCTGTGCCTGTGTGTGTGTGTGCACACATATTTGTTTACATGTGACATCCTTCATTGTTCCCGCGTGCTGTCCGTGGCCCCAAAATGTCCCCCTGCTCTGCACTGCTTTGTTTGCATGTGCTTTTGTGCAAACACAGGGAAAGCTAAGCAGCGACGAGGCAGCAAAAACAATACCAACACAACAACATGTTTGCTCATGTACACACACACACACACACACACACACACGGGCAGAGGGCACACTTTTTGTTGTTGAACTACATTTCGAAGAAAGAGAAAGGGAGATTGTGGTGCAGTTGACCCTGCTTCTTCTTCTTCTTTTTGACATTTCCCATCTCCGTTTCGTTTTGGCATGTTCCTTTTCCCATTTTTCAAGTCTCTTGACTCTAATTCGGTTCAGGGCCGCCCTGCTTCCAGCGGCAGAAGCTGTCATAGTTAATTTAAGAACTGACTACAACCCCAGAGACACCCCCTTCAGTGCTCAGTCCTTTATTAATATTCTAGTAGGATGGAGGGAGACAAGCGGAACAAGTACCGAAGAAGAGTTCTTAAATCCCATTCTAACACTTGTTGCTCTAAAATGCGCTTTTGTAGGGCGGCGAGGTGATCCAGGAGAGCATAACCTCCAACATTGGCGAGGATCTGATAACACTAGAGTTCCAGAAAACCGACGGGACCCTCATCACCCAAGTTATAGACTTCCGCAATGTAAGTATCGCCACATGAAGACGGAAGTGGAAGGATGCCGAGCATTTTCTCTGCTTTAGAAGTCTCATTCCCTTTTTCCTTTTACTCCTGCCATTTCAGGAGGTTCAAATCCTCAAGGCCCTGGTGCTTGGCGAGGAGGAGCGCGGCCAGAGCCAGTACCAAGTCATGTGCTTCGCCACCAAGTTCAACAAGGGGGACTTCATCTCCTCGGCCGCCATGGCCAAGCTGCGACAGAAGAACCCGCACACGATACGCACTCCCGAGGAGGACAAGGGCCGCGAGACCTACACGATGAGCAGCTGGGTGCAGCTGAACCGATCCCTGCCCATTACAAGGCACCTGCAGACCATCTGCACCGAGGCCATGGACGCTACCTATGTGCGGGATGTGGACCTGAAGTCCTGGGCGGAGCTGCCAGGTATGTGGTTGACCGATTAGTTGAAGAAAGTGTGCACATCTATGAAAGATAAGATGCCAAGAGTTTAGTGTGAAACCTTTACCTAGTACCTAAAATTCCACTTGACTTTTTTTATATTTTTGTACCCGTACTCAAAAAGAGTTAAGGGGTATATTCGATTTTTGGTAAAAGTGGATGTGTGTAACGCAGAGAAGGAAACGTTTCCGACCCCATAAAGTATATATATTCTTGAACAGCATCAATAGCCGAGTCGATATAGCCATGTAATGTAAAATGTAAATTTTTTTTTTAAATTCTAAAATTCTAAAAAATCATAAGCTTAAAAATGTATATACTGACTGAGTACGGGTATAAGTCGCGTCCCGAGAAGCGACTCATACGTTCCTTCTCGTTGTATTTTGTGAGCGCGAGCCAAGCCAGAAAAACCCCCAGTACCCTCCAATAAATGCGAGACTTAATTCTACAAAACTCTTGTACTCAGATTAAACAATATAGAAATATCATTCATACATATAATGTCGGTTAGTTTGTGGCTGTGAAAGCTTGCATTAGTCGCAAGAAATAGATTTGTCTGACTGATTTGTCTGACTGGGTTAACGATGCTAGATGGGTCGAGAAAGTAGACTTTTCGTGTTAAAAAATGTGTAAAGAATTTGTTGGAAATGATTCAGCATTTATTGAAACATGTTTTTAACACAGACATCTCAATTCTTCAACTTTGTTCATCACTATATGAATATAAGACGTTTTTACAAGCTCAAGCTCTCAGGGGAAAAAATAAAAACCAAAGCAATAAACTAATCCGTATTAGTATTTGAGCATTTTTACTTCCCTATCCATTGAATGGTTTTGGTTTTTAATACCAAGCAGCCCGTTTCTCTTTGAATTAAATCAGACAATGGGAGCAATGAACCAGTCTAGAGAGTATAATTTTCGTAAGGGATAATATCGATATTTGAAGATATTTATTCACTACCTTTCCAAAGTGTCAACAAATGAAAAATCATTACAGTCTTTAGCTCTATAAAAATATGTAGATTTGATCAGTTGACTGGTTAGTCACAGCCCAAGTAGCAGCGTGATTACTGTTACGAGAATTTTTTTTATTAACATTTTCCCTATCTTTTAATTAATTTAATGCGATTTTAAATGCACCGCAAATGTGTGGAATTTATTGTACACTTTTAGTAGAAAATTTCCCCGTGGGTAACCAATATTCGGTGAACCGAATTGATTTTTTCTTTTCACGCAGCTCTTAAAATATTCTCCACTTTTTTGTTTGCATTCTGGTTGCTTGCTGCTTTTTTGTGTTTGCGCCGGGCTATCCTGCAGGCTCGTCGATCTCCAGCCTGGAGGCGGCCACTGAGAAATTCCCGGACACGCTCTCCACGCGCTGCAACGAAGTGAGCAGCCTCTGGGCACCCTGCCTGTGTACCCTGGAGACATGTATTGGCTGGTATCCCTGCGGCCTGAAGTACTGCAAGGGAAAAGGAGCCGGCGCGGACTCGTCCGGCGCCCAGCAGCAGCAGCAGACGAATTATCGCTGCGGCATCAAGACCTGCCGCAAGTGTACACAGTTCACCTATTATGTCCGACAGAAACAACAGTGCCTCTGGGATGAATGACGGCGCGGCGAGCTGCAGCTGGTGCAGATGCAGATGCGCTGTGCCAGGCGGCGGAGCGACACGGATGCGATGGATGCCTGCGATGCGGCACTCGGGATGCAGATGGGAGTTGAAAGTGAAACAAGAGGAGCAGCGACAATAACAGGAACAGCGGCAACAACGAATGGCAGCAGGAGAACAGGAGAGGACACAACGGCAACAACGACGACGACCAACAAATTACGCCAACTGCTTTTGTTGGTGCAGCAGCAGATGCCTTTTGCTCTGTGGAGCTTTCCGGTCCATCACATTTCCCATCATCGTCAGCATCCAGGGGAGAGGGAGAACCAGAAGCAGCAGCATCAGCACCAACAGCCTCATCATCATTCTCAGGTTGCCGCCACATCATCCTCCACATCCACAATGGCTGCCGTCGTTGCGTGATAATGATAATGCTGGGAATATTCAACCAGCATCCAGGCCCCTCCGGTTCCCCGAGAAATGAGTGTGGACACTTTTTACTTTCCACACCATGGGGGACGGGGGCATAGAGCCAAAGGGTGGACGGATGGAAAAGTGTGCTCCTCTATACTATGTACATATGTATGTACATATTTGTAACTACGATTAGCTTTTAGCCCGTTTGAGTTATACGCTTGTGCAGGATTTCCTTTAGCCTTAGGTTTAGGTTAGATATCTAATTATCGTAATTAAATTTAGACCACAAAGAGCTCGCTGAACTTAGGATTCCTACCCAGCTATCTTTTGCTATCTCTGATTATATACTCTCACCAAAGAATTTACTTTGGGCAAATTTAAATAATATTTCCGTCATATTTCATTCAATAATTTATCTATGTATATATTACTAAATATAACGTTTTAAAATTATATTAATTTAATATTTACACGTTTTATATTATATATTATATTATTTCCGCTTTCGTTGCTCGCTTTATATTTTTAATTTTATAACTTTGTGAATTTGTATTTTCAACATTTCTTAAAATTTGACGATTCCTACTAAAAGTTCTGATTCTCTTAAAATACTTTCTTTCTCCCATTCCAATTTCACTTCATCCTTTTTTCTGAACACAATTTTACGCAGTTTGGTTCGGGCTATCTGTTAGCAGTTTTATATTTCATCTTCACCCTTTCCTTTTCATAACTGAAGCCTGACTAGATCTAGTCTTTTTCCAGTCGTATTCCGCTGAGCTCAAGAGTATTAGAATTATAGGAATATAAATAAATTAAATGTGGCCTTAGCATGTTTTATGAGCGCAGGAAAGAGAAACCAAACTAAGGAATTTGTCGGGCAGATCAGAACTTGTAATTCATTGTGCTCATAATAAAATCGGAAAATACAACTAATAAGAAATATGATACGGGAAATTCCACTAACCGAAACGACTGCCGCTAGAAAAGCTTTTTTATTATCTTTTTCAAAAATGGCTGTTTGAAAACCCCAATCGCATTACTTCTTTTCCACTCTTCCTTATTATATGTAGTCCTTTACACCCTCTTTATACTTAGGTAACTAAACTGTAACACACCTGCCTTTTTGCCTTTGACTTGTCATATTTTCCACTTTCCAAACCAAAGGATTACCTTGCAAGAGTATCGAAGAAAATTTCGAGCATATTGATTGATACCAATAATAAATAATACCAAGAACAATAATCTATTGTATAAACTTTCGAACCTAGTCTACTTAGAGTCTTAGAATGGCATATTTTCCTAAAAGCATACTACAAAATAAAATTGTGTAACATGTTTCGACAAGAAAAACAAACGGTGATAATAATTTTTTCTACCACTTAGACAGGCAACTCCTTGACTCACTGTAAAAATATAATGGAAATGAATTTGATCTGATCCAGTAAAAAAATTGATTAGTATTACTAAGCATTTAAGGGTTTATCGAACGAGGGAGACCCCAATCTGATTCGTGTGAAGCGCATTAGCCAATAATAATAATCCACTAGTCCTAACAAAGTAATTGAAATTAATATTTAGTCCTAATAAAGAAGCTGACAAATTCTACATTTTTTATAAAACAAAACTAATCTTTTATTTGTAATACCTTTTTTATGGCTTGGAGTTATATTTCAGATTGGAAAATTCTTCGTTTACCTGTGCGTTACCTAGTATTAAATAAAAGAAAGAGCCTTCTTTATACAAATATCGTTCTCATTGAGTTATTCCTATCCCCTTAAAGCCTATATCTTATTTAATTATATTCGATTCAACAGCCAACAATATTTATTAATGCATTCATTTGATCCTAATCAATGAAGGGCTTTCGGAATAGCCATCTTCCCAATGCATTAAGATGCTCGGCATGCTTCAAGATGTTTTCCAAACCCACCGACTCCTCCAGAGCCCTAATACTCTTGCCATCACACTCCGGAAAACAAACAGTTTGCAATGCAAGCTGCATGGAAGCTGCCGACTGGATCCTGGAGCAGCTCCAAGCAGCTCTTAGACCAGTGGCAAATCCTTTATGCGATTTGTAATTCATGAGCAGAGCGCACAGATTCTTATCATTTATTTTACTGCGCAATCGGTATTGGGTCCGTGGCAGAGAGGGCAGCGGATGGTAGAGACAGCTAGACAAACACTTGCAGCCAATAACTATATTCATGGCGTCGACTGTATCCGACGATGGCTTAAGACGTGCGGAAACCAAATCGGCGTCGTAGAAAATTGAATTTGTTACGATTTCTCAGAGGGGTTGAGTATAGCCCGAAGGATAGCGCGGGGAAACGATGAACCCAACGGGAGCAGACGTATGTGCATGTCTAATGAGCCATGAAATGCCGGAGACTGGAGCCTTTTTCCCCAATTCCACCATCGAGCTTAGGACCTTTTTTTTGTGGAGGGTAATCAGCGACAGCTGGCTACTCGGATCTCCATCTACACTTAGGAGGCAACACGAGTAGCCTGTCCCAGGTCAGGGCCATCTCCTTTGAGCCCCGTAGTTGACCTCGCTCAGCCCCTGCTGACCCCCCACATATATATAATTAAAGCGGGCAGCGGCTGGCGCGTAAATCAAACAAAATCAACTCTCTTCGGCTGCTCTTAATTAAGTTTACACTATCGCCATTCGATTTCTCTCTCGGGGTTTCTTGTTTTTTTTGGTGGTCAGCTGTGCACCCAGCAAATGGGTCCAAATCGATGTAAGTATTAACGAAGAATCTCCTTCATTATTGTGTTCAAAGCAAGTTTTGTTGAAAAGGTGGAGTAGTAAATAGTATTAAGATATACAGACAAACAATATAAAATACTTTGTAAGTAACTTTAATTAAAAATCTTTTTAAATATGATTATCGAAATCAACATCATAAATACAATACAATAAATAATAACAAAGAACAAAGCCGCCAAAAATGATTCAAGCTAAGAAAGTTTCAACAATTACTTTTCAAAGTTGATGCTACATAAATGTATATTTAATCATTTCTACCATTTCCATATTCGCAACTTATTTTAGATTTTTAAATTAATACAAGTATAATCAACTTATCGCAGTATTTCCCATTACCACAGTTGCAATAATCTAACGCATCTGACATCCGTTTGTTGCCAACCTGCTCCAGCCAATATACATTGGAACCGACATTCCTTTCGCCTGAGCAAGGTCGGGTCGGGTCAATAAAACAGCCTTCTCGACGGACCATCCCCTGAGTGAACGGCCGGCGTGTGGGTATTCTCCATCTGTGGCAGGCCTCTTATTGCTGTGGCCGTGTGAATTTTCCCTATTGACTTTTCAGGTCAAAAGTGCGCTTGATATTTGCATAACTACTTAAAGCTTCCCCCTCACCCACATACATACCTGCATATATTCTGGGATATTTTCCAGTACACGCGAACGAGGCAGGGAACATCGCTTGTTCATTATTAATTTGTGTGTTTATGTCTGCGTTAAATTAAAATCACTTAAACGCCGTGTAATCATCGCAAATAGGCTCTCAGCCGCTCGCTTCTGACGTCACAGCAAAGTTTAAACCTTCTCCGTTTCTCAGACTTCTCTTCACCACTAATTTGGCCGAGTCACGTAGGAGAGTAAAACAAAAGCAGCTGCAGCGCCGAATACTTGCCAACTACTTTTGAAATGTAATTTCACTTTTGCCAGCTTTTGGACTGACGAACTGACATTGTGCACGCCTGTTGTTAAATAGGGTTCACGGGAAAGAGATTCGTTTGCCCTCCGCCTTTATTTTGTTGTAATTGAAAGTTTTCACAATTAGCAGGGTCTACCAGAAGAAGGGGAAGGAAACATGGTTGATGCTAAAAATGTCGTTGATGCCTAATGAGAGGCCGGTGATTTTGCTTCTTTGACCCTCGAAATTAATGAAACCTCAATGTTACATAAATTGCAGGGAAATATTCTACACGAAAATGTCCAACAAATGGTATTGCCAAATTATCTTTTTATATGTACATACTTTGAAGTGTTCCAATAAACGTTCGATGCCTTTTATCGTTCATTCAAATTTTTGTATGAAAACTTTTGAAAGTCTGATTGTTACTTATGTAAATTGTACAGATTTTGTGGAGATCCAGGCTTAGGAACACTTGCACAAACAGTTCGGCCGGTTTTCAATATAGTCATTTATAATTGCCATTTGATGACATTTAAATGAATGGCCCCCAACGTATTATATCGCCATAAATACGGTAGGTTTTTTATAGGTGAGCTGCCTTCGTCTTTCTCTTGTCATCATTATCGTTGCCATTATACGTGGGTGCTACGGACACGAACAAAGTACGTTTTCCCTGTTCTTTCGGTCGTGTGCCCCAACTGCAATGCGCATAAATCAATGACAATCAAAATTCATTTCGTTTGCGTTGATTTATTGCTTTTGTTTGATTATAGGGGATCCTCCGGATCCATCGATGTCGGCAAAAGCTGAGCTGCTGCCCAGCTTTCCCTGCTTTCTGGTCTGATGTGCTGCCTTATCAGCAATGCATATTAATGTGAGTTATGTGTGTGTGCCAGAAACAACAAAACTAAGCTCGGTTCCTCGATATTTTTCTTGTATTTTCCCTTTTTTCCTGTACAAATATTAAAGATACACAAAGGCAGAGTGAGAGTGGGACAGCATGTGCACGCCCCATTCAACTGAGGAGCAACCTTTTTCCTTTATTTTTTTGTGGGATGGCTTATCCCCCGCCCACAGACCCACGTCCCACTGCCAAATCATCAATCAAACGCGTGTGATTTGCTACAGTTCAAATTTCGCTCTCAGTTCAATCGTTCAGCCATTCAAGCAGAAATACAAATATTTGCTTTTTTCCAAAGTACAAAAGCAGCCTAGAGAGAGGGGAAATATAGTGCAGAGGGGCGGTTGAAAGCCATCTGGCAGGGCAGGCCCAGGGCTTAGTCTTGTCCTTCCTGCCTGACTGACATGGCTTAAAAATCGAGGCCTCTTCGCTGTGCCCGTCAAGAGGCGGCGGCAAAAAAGGGTAAGCCACTCCCGACTCGTTCGCCCCTAGGAAGCAGATGTTCCTTCTCTCGACTGCCTAATCTCTTGTGTGATGGGCTGGCAACCTGTTACATCGCTACCCGTGCACCCTGCACTTCTGGGACCTTTTTGACGAACCAAAGGCACCAGCCTCGTCGCCAAGGCTGACAAATGGCCTCCGTAATAAGGCGCTGTGAAATTATTTAGAAAATTTAGCTAGCCAAGGGCACCACCTTTTCAGAAACATTCGGCAACAGCCGTAGGGATAGGTTGAACGAGTGGGTTGGCGTGGTGCTGGGCTTGGCAGTAAGTAAAATGGAATTTGTTTTCATCTTGTGAAAAAGTTTTGAGGTTGAGAATATATTGAAGGGTCCAGGAAAGCTTAAAAGGT